TGATGTAATAATTTCCTCTAATGTTTACCACTTTGGATCAGATGAGAATGGAGAAACCCATTACATTCAGGAATGAAGGGGGAAAGACTGTCTTACTCAACCTCGTGGAGAACTTTGATTTAACAAATAGCAATATTTTCTTAGCCCTTTGCACATATAAGACTATCTTAGGATGATATATTTTCTGGCAATATAGATGATACCACTATATTATTTTTCCATCTTCAAAATTATCCATATAATTAACAATTGTTGAAATTTTTAGGTCTGGTCTAAACTATTTTAAGCTTGGAATTCCATGCTGGTTTGAATAAATGTTTAAAAATGTGGCAGAGAGACAACTTTCTAAATTCTCTGTTTCGTCTAAAGTTAAGGGCACAATGGTGGACGTAACGATTTTTTTCCTTTTTAAGGTAAAACAACCCTGGCACATATTATTAAGGGATTTTTGGAAAAAACAAAAACAAAAACCTTGTTTTAAAAATGAAAATCTGCACAATAATTAGCTGAAACCTCAACCAGGGAACTCTCTGCTGCAGATACAAACCTAAAAAATAACACAGTCAAGGTGAAAACAGCTCATAAAATGAACAACCAGAAGTTAGGATAAAATGACCATTTCTAGCTAAATAATCCCTAGATTCAGCAATTAGGTATTTGAAGCAAAACTTTGTTCCTCCCATGTTTCCTGATGTATGAACGAACCACAACAGTTACCACCTTTCAGAGAGGGGAGGAGCTTGGAGTGGCAAGAATAAGTCAGTTCCTTTTTGTTGAGTATGTTCCGTGATAGCAAAGTAAAAAGTCAACCCAAGGAATAAAAATCTTAACTAAAGAAAGGTCAAAATTTGATTAAAGGTAACTTTTTATGCTTTTTTTTTTTAACAGACATGCCTTCCTTTGGTAAGAGGCCTTGTTTCTAGACATTTTTCCTTAGTTACTGGACTAGCGTTTGGACTGGCAGCTGTTGAGGTACAGTACAATCTTGCATTATTAACTCTTCATTTCTTCCCTTGTTTGTTCATTAATTTTTCTGAAATTACTTGTGATGAGCCAAATGAAAACCAGGTACTTCAGAAAAGCACTGGGTTCCCAGTGCCCGCGTCCCAAAATCGGCTTCTGTGGGACTTGGGTCTGGGGAGGGGACTAGAGTCTCAAGAATTCAGCAGGGCTGAAGCTATGACTTCTGAATGATCTCCCTCTTAGGAGAAAAATATTGAATTAATATCTACATTGTTCTTAGTCCCATTGGAAACCAGCACAAGGGTTAACGTTTCCTGAAGTTAGAAGGAAAAGCACTAAACCAAAAAAACACAAGCATTACCAACATGACAGTTTCTTATCTCTCTTCCTAGTTTTGAAACAGAAAATAAAAACTGAGATCAAGGGTGTGAGGAGCTCTCTTCTTGCTACTTCATGCTAGAGAAATCTAGCAAGTTCCAGAAACTAGACAATTGATTTTCTCACTGTAAGGACTGTGGACTCACTTGGAGACGTTTTAAAGCTCTGCTTGAGGTTTCCTTAGTTATTCTCATCAATTTGATTATTGATGTTGCAAAAAAAAAAAATCCTGTATGGGATCTCCTGGCATGATTTTTTTTCAGAACCTGAAGGATATTTTTTTTTTTGATGAAGAACAATTTAATGTGCAGAAAAGGTTGTACCAGGAAGGGATATGTGCCATCTTTGGTAGTTCAATGATTACTTTATTTCTTTTTTGGGGGGAGGGGAGAATTAGGTTTATTTATTAATGGAGGTACTGGGGGTTGAACCCAGAACCTCATGCATGCTAGGCATGTACTCTACCCCTGAGCCATATCCCCCCCTCCCATGATTACTTTCTTTCTTTGGTTTCCACTTTAGTTATTTTCTCCTAATTGTTTTTCCTTTTTTTTTTAACATTTTTTATTGATTTATAATCATTTTACAATGTTGTGTCAAATGAAGGATTTTTTTTAATGTGGCCTAGAATTCTTTGTAAAAATAAAGAATAAATAATAAAACTGTTTCCAAAAACAAAACAGAATGAAACAAAACGTGTTTCAAAGAAGTGTTTTTGGAATCATCCCAGATCTTGGTTAATTTAGATATCATGTGAGTCAAATTCACGCGTAACCCTAACGGGGCATTGGCAAGAATCCTAAAGACATGAGGTGGCTCCGTAGATAATGCCTCTGAGGGCTGGTTTGCTCAGTTGAGTGACTTCTGATTCACTCTCAGGAAGTATTGACAATGTTCTCCCTGGGTTTTCCGGTAGCTTTTACCTCTTACTTGTGCCACATCACCGTCAGAGAGGAATTTGACCTAAAATTAAAGCAATTTAGTATTCTACGTGGTCATTTAGGTTTCTAGTGGAATTTCCCAGCCAACCATAAGCGAAAGCGTAGGGACTATGAACAGCAAATTGGGCTGTTAAGCATGACTTCCTTGTAGTCTAAATGAATAGGTCCAAATATGAAGCATTCTCTGTTGGTACATAGGGCTGTCTTTTTTATGTCTGATATCTGACTAAGTTAAACGGTGCTGTGCTATAGGTCCATTTCTCTCCATTCTGCCTGTTATAAAATGTCCTTTGTTTCTCTGCTTTGCATTTGGGGTTTATGCTAATTTAGAAATATGAGTTAATGGTGGTAGAGATGAGTGAGCAATCACCATATATACTCATACATCTATAAACACAAAACACACATATGTTGGTAGAGTAGATTGTAAATGGGCAAGCTTTCAATGAGGCATTCAGTGTAAGTGTCCATATAAGTGTTGGATTCCATCTTAGACTCAAATTTAGACAACTGACTTTGACTACAGCCCACAGATGCTTTTAAGAAGCTTTTCAAAAGCAAAGCCAGAGGAAATAAGGACCTCATCAACTGGGAAGACTGATGTCTCTCATATTGTAGCCAAAGGCATTGCCAGGAATGTAAAGACACCTAATGGAAAATAAGATTACAATAGGAATAGTATTTCAGTATTTTATGAAATTGGCATAACCTATCTGTTTGTTACATATTTAGATATTCTCTTGGTTGTTCTAAAGATATATATAGGGAAATAACTAACTAAAAACCTTTCATAGAGCAGTTTATAGGTATAGAATGAACATGGCAATATCACAAAAAATATAACCAGTTTTGAGTTATGCCAGTTAAATTAAGTGTGATTTCTAGACTATATGTAGATATGGTAAATAGTTGATTCAAAGAACTGTTTGAATTTTTTATTTATTTATTTTTTTTGCTCACTCCCTCAATCTAGAACTTGCCTTCCTGGATTTGAAGAAAAAAAATATTTTACTTCCCTATTTTATTCAAAAAAGAGCTTTGAAAATAGTCTTTTGATAGCCAGTTTATAAAAATGTTTCCCAAAATATGTACATTAGTCTGTCTTACCGTCTTAGTAACACTAGTTGCCTCACTCAGAGGCCCATCTACTGTTTCCCAAGTTCAAATTCAAGAAAACACAAAGATATGTAAACAGAAAAATCCTAATACCTACTTTTAAGAAGGAAACAGAAGTAAATATCTCCCTGCAGAAAACACATTCAAACTAGTTCCATAGAAAAAGATCATATGAAAAAACCCACCATTTGACATTTACATCTTTGGTATTAGTCTGTTTAGGCAAAGGCTCTGATGGACAGGGCCCATAGTTAATTACATGGCTCTTTTAAAGACATATACCTGAGGGATTCTGCTCCGATAGGATGCTAGAAATCTACATGCAAAATGCTTTGTTTTGTAAGAAATTTTTATCTCTAGACATTGAAATTCTCATTATTTTAAGTTAAATAACCAGATTATCATATCCCTCCTTTTCTGACTATAGCAACTAACTTACAAGCACAAAAAGTGATCAGCACTTTCTCGCCTCACTTTAATTAAGGAAAAAAAAAAAAACCCCACTGACGTTGATAGTCACCACTTTGTAGGATAGTAAATTGTCCTGGCAGCAAGTCCTAGGAATGGAACAATTAAAAGAGAGAAAAAAAATGATAATTTTACACTTTTTTAGGTGGCTTCAGAATATGAGAACTTGTGCACATTACTCAGCAAGTTTATCCTGAGTCTTTGCATATATTACTATGTGATGAATCTCGTTTAATTATTCCCAATTTGTCTGAAGAGTGGTATATTTTCTTTTCAGAGGCAGTGAAATACGAGAAAGTGTGCTAGTCACTGTCTAGTCTGCTGGTGAAGGGTAGGGCTTCTGTTTCAAGGCTGGGACAGGGAAGGACCAGAGCTGCCTCATCTACTGCTTTGATCATTTTCTTCCTTCTTTCCTGATACTTGTCTCCCAGACTCGAGGCTTGGGACCAAGGCAAAAGACTAAATTTTAAGGATTTTTTCTAAGTCATGCTCAGAGAACGACGTTTAGAACATTCTGAATAAAAATCATTATTTTTGCAGAAAATTGGTCTTTTTTTTTTTTGAAGGAAAAACATTGGGCAGCAGTTCTCATTTGAGATGCATTTCCAGGAAAGGATTCTAAAGTTGGATGTCTCTGTCCAGTAGGAGCACTTGAGGTGACTCAGCATAAATGGGCACCCCCTCAGAGGGGTGGAGAGGCAGCTTTCAATCTGGAATACACCAGGTCCTTTCTGTCATTTCTGCATCAAAGCCACAGCACGCCACTCACCAACTTCAGAGCCAGTTAGGGTGGGTTTTGGGGTCACTTGTTCTTGGGAGAGCCACTTAATGAGATGGAAATCGTGCCCCAGATTTTCAGCTGTGTATTTTCACTTCAAAGGAAGTTCCTGAATTAAGCCATCCCCCTTGGATTTAGAAGCTTTTTTAGAAAAATAAAGTTACCTTGTTTTTCATTCCTCTTGGCGATGCCTAAAAATATGGCAAGAGAAATTCTACACTCCTTGATTTTTATGCAGATGATCTAAACCAGATGATCATAAGCCTTTAAGATGCAGTAGGGACCTTTGGCCCCAGAGACCCGAGTTCCCCAGAGTTCCAGGGCCATGCCCTACAGAAGGACGTGTGTGTTCACGGAAGGTGAGATGCTTGGGTGACAGAAGCTTTTGCACAACCAAAGAGGGCTGGTTAGAAGCGGATTGACTAGAAAACCCTGATTAATTCACAAAAATACTCAGAGAACTTGCTCAAAGTTCTTTTGTCCCATTAAAGTCTCTAATTTCCCAGTAGCAGAGGTAACTTACATAAATAACGTTAGAACTGACAGTCGCCAGAATGTTTCACATGCCACATTTTCTATTTATGATGTCTCCAGAGCTTTCCCTTAGATTCCACGTTAACCTTCTTATTTTATTTTCTAGATACTTGCTGTGATATTTTCTATTGTCCTATATGGCAACACAAGGAAGAAATAATTCTGTGGATGTATCAAGCCATCATCGTTCAAACCCCTTTAAAACCTTACTTTGGCTTTGTAACTTTAGATATCTGAGCGCTGCATGTGTTAGGAGCAGCTGTCCTCTGAAAAAGTCTCATTTAGCAAGATCACAGATATCTCCTAGACAGACTGAACGTATTGAAGATTTGGGGGACACAAAATTATATGCATGTGCCTTTTTTTCTGCAAAATAACATTGTTTACATTGGCACTTTTCCATGTCTGATCATTGTGTTCAGGTGGTGCTGTGCTTAAAATGTTCATCTGGAGCCACCCAGTGGAATGATGATCTTCATCTCTAACATGGCCGTGGTTAGCTAAGGCGGCACACCTCGGCTTCTGCAAAGCCGTATTCTCTGTTGTGTGATGCCTCAGCCATTGGTGATGAGGTTGAATTACGCCTCATGTTGGAAGATTGAGAGTGACCCAACTAAAAGAGTTGCCACCTCGTGTCTGTTTATGCCAATGTCTACTAATGGCATCTCATTTTTTCTCCTTAATGTGGGGACAAGAAGATCTGAACACTGTCTGTCCAGCCATTGAATCTCTGGTATCTCTCTGGATCTTCCTCTGGAAACTCTTCTAAGTGCCTCTATCTGTCTAGTTCTCACAGACATTTTGACATTTAACTCTTTATTGAGGTATAATATACACACAATAGAGTGAACAAATCGTAAGTATTCACCTGTGTGAACACTGTGTGAACCAGATCAAGATACAGAACGTTTCTGGCACATCGGAACACCCCTTCATGTTACCTGTCAGCGGCTAGAGCTGCCTCTCCCCGACTTGCCAGAGCAGACTGCATACAGGTATATCCCTACCCAACTTTGTGCTCAGTGACGTTACGTTGGTAACTTGAAATCCACTGTGGTGGGAGTGTTTAAGTATTTACATCATAGAAATTGGCAAATGCTGTAAAATCAAGGCTCTTCCTTCTTTCCTTCTTTCCTTCTTTCTTCCTTCCTTCCTTCTTTCCTTCCTTCCCCTTCCTTCCTTTCCTTCCTTCTTCCTTCCTTTTCCCTCCTTTCTTTCTTTCTTT